ACACTACAGAGGTAATAGGTCAGGTTTCTAAACCTAAGAAATATTCACCAGGTAAGCAGAGTGTTGAAGGGAAATTGAATTTTCTTGGCTGGGTCTCTCCTGGTTTATGCTAAACTTCCACCATCAGAGGTCAGTGGCATACTGTACAAAAAAAGACAGACTGATTTCTGTGCTGAGATTTCTGTCTCTGGTTATTTGGATTGCTTTTAATTTTACTGGACTAGTAAGTTAAAGGAAAAACCTGCTACAGGCCAATTTTATTAATTTTAAGAAGGAAGGAACAAGAAGTAGGAAAAGAACTCAACCAAGTATAAACCAATGGGTTCTTGTTCTAACTCTTGGTATTGTTGACTAATGTGTGTGTGTGTGTGTGTGTGTGTGTGTGTGAACTTGAAGAATCCAGTCACATAATCACTACAAAATTCCCCAGTCAAAACAAGTATTAGGAATTTTAAAAGTAACTGCAGTAGCTTAGTGTGGTGGAAACAACAAGGGTAAATGCTTTTGGAAATGTCAAATGGAGATGACACGCAACTCTAAGTGCAGTATCTGCCATCTGATTTGGGGTAAGTCACTAAACTACTAAGATCTGATTTTAGGTAAGTTCTTAAACTACTCTAAGTGTGGGTCATCATCTGCAAACTAGCAACTAAATGCACAGTATCCTGGTCTTTTGCTGTCAGACTTACACAGAATAATATATGCAGAAACTGTAGCATGGTACCTGACACAGAGTAGGGTTCAATAAATGTTGGTATTTTTCATTTCTCCAATAAAATCCTCAGGAGCTATGGGGTCTTCCAATGTGAAAATAGAATGTGAAGATCATAACTTTTGTCTGATCATAACTTTTGTCTATTCAAAACATGTCCAAATTTTAATGGCATGTGTTGGGGCTATACAACCTGTACCAAGGAGCAGAGTTATAGCTACTCCACATTCTGTTATTTACCAAAGAACATGCATGTCTGGCAGGGGGCAAAGCAAGTTCAAAACACAACAGAACTTCAGTGAAAGCAGAACAGAAGGGCCTCAAAACCACAAGGCTTTATGAAGTCCAGCCTCCTTCATGAGGAAAATCCTCGCTTCTAATTTGACTGGTTGGGATATGCCCCACCTCCACCCCCTCCCTCAGCAATAATCCCAATAGTGGCTGTTCTGTGGTCCTTCAAGGCATTTTTCAGTCACTGATGGGGTATCTGTATTCCACTTACCCTCACAGGATGGATGAGTGAGTCTGATGATTACTTTTGCCACAAGGACCCACAAGCAAGCAACCAGCAAAAACCGAACATCTTTTGGAAGATGACGTAACAAGCCATTTACAAAAAGAACTTTAAAGTAGCTTCTACTCTCAGACTTACCCAATTAAGTCACATTTTCTCTGTAACTTAATGGCTCCGGGCTTTATTCTTACTTCATAAATCACAAGCACAGGCTTGGAAAAATGTTTCCAATTACACCAATCAATACATTTTTATTGACTGTTTACAACTGGCCTCCTACCGTACCAAGTGCTCTAAGAGCCAAGTGCCTAATGCGAGGCCTGAACCATCCACGCTCTGACACCATTCCAGGCTTCGTAAACAAGCCAGGATCCTTCCCTTGTGGCAACTCACTGCCAGGAACTGGCATTCAAGGGCCTGGCAATCTGGCCCAAGCTTAACTAACTTCCCAGTTACTAGTATTATTTTCCATTTTCTTTTACTCCTATTGTTCCACCAGGTCTTTGTGTGTGTGTGTCTACATGTGTATTACTATTTCTTCTTCCCCAAATTCCCTCTTTGCGTCTGCATTTGCTAAATAATTAGCTATTCTCTATGACTCATGTCAAATCCCATCTCTTCCATGGAGTCTTATTCTACCACTCTCTTTGAAAGGGCCTTCTTTGAATTGTCTATGGGTTGTGTTCTAAAAGAGACAGGAATACCAGACCACCTGACCTGCCTCCTGAGAAACCTGTATGCAGGTCAGGAAGCAACAGTTAGAACTGGACATGGAACAACAGACTGGTTCCAAATAGGAAAAGGAGTACATCAAGGCTGTATATTGTCACCCTGCTTATTTAACTTATATGCAGAGTACATCATGAGAAACTCTGGGCTGGAGGAAGCACAAGCTGGAATCAAGATTGCCTGGGAGAAATACCAATAACCTCAGATATGCAGATGACACCACCCTTACGGCAGAAAGTGAAGAGGAACTAAAAAGCCTCTTGATGAAAATGAAAGAGGAGAGTGAAAAAAGTTGGCTTAAAACTCAACATTCAGAAAACTAAGATCATGGCATCCGGCCCCATCACTCCATGGCAAATAGATGGGGAAACAGTGGAAACAGTGGCTGACTTTATTTTTGGGGGCTCCAAAATCACTGCAGATGGTGACAGCAGCCATGAAATTAAAAGACGCTTACTCCTTGGAAGGAAAGTTATGACCAACCTAGACAGCACATTAAAAAGCAGAGACATTAATTTATCAACAAAAGTCTGTGTAGTTAAGGCTAAGGTTTTTCCAGTAGTCATGTATGGATGTGAGAGTTGGACTATAAAGAAAGCTAGGCACTGAAGAATTGATGCTTTTGAACTGTGGTGTTGGAGAAGACTCTTACGAGTCCTTTGGACTGCAAGGAGATCCAACTAGTCCATCCTAAAGAAGATCAGTCCTGGGTGTTCATTGGAAGGACTGAGGCTGAAGCTGAAACTCCAATACTTTGGCCACCTGATGCGAAGAGTTGACTCATTGGAAAAGACCCTGATGCTGGGAGGGATTGAGGGCAGGAGAAGGGGACAACAGAGGATGAGATGGTTGGAAGGCATCACCAACTCAATGGACATGGGTTTGGGTAAACTCCGGGAGTTGGTGATGGACAAGGAGGCCTGGTGTGCTGCGGTTCATGGGGTCGCAAAGAGTCGGACACGACTAAGCGACTGAACTGAACTGAACTGTGTTACCGCAGCACTAACAGAACACTCAGCTATCGGTACATATATCTAGTCTATAAAGTCCTACAGGGTCAAAATCATTATGTGTAGTATTCACTATGGTAACTTTCTCATATCTGTTGAACATATAATACTGGTGGAAGAAGTTGCATTAGAGGCGAGCTTTTAAGAATAAGAAAGATGAAATAGGACACAGAGACCAATTTTGACAGGGGGCCAGCCTAAGCAAAGGACAGAAATGAGAATGTTTGAGATTCCTCTAGGGAACAGCAAAGATTTTATCTCAACCTATAGCTTAGACAGTGTGAACTCTAGTAGTGGTTTACTTAGCCCCTCAAACGAACCTCATTTTGCAGGCACTGCATAACCATTGAAGATCTCTGAACAAGAGAGCTATTATCAGAACTCTGAGCCACTGGAAGCAGTATGAAATGCACAAGAAAAATTCAATCTGCAAATGAAGATACCAGAAAGACATCCATGGCAATAGCCTAGGGAGAAAGGCAACGAGAGCCTGAATTAGGGAAGCAGCTTTGGAAGCACAAGAAATATGACCAAGGTAGGATCAAGACATTGAAAAAATAATTATGTGAAGGATTCCAGTCTGAGCAACTCTGTGGATGACAGCTTCCTTCATACAGAGTGAAGTAAGTCAGAAAGAGAAAAACAAATATCATATATTAATACATATATATGGAATCTAGAAAAATGGTAGAGAAGAACCTAGTTTTGGGAATAGAGATGCAGACAGAGAATGGACACGTGAGCACAGGGTGGGAAGGGGAGGGTGGGAGGAACCGGGAGAGCAGCGCTGACACATACATGCCACCACACGTAAAATTTACCCTGGTGGTTCAGATGGTAAAGAATCCCCTGGAATGCGGGAGACCTGGGTTCGGTTCCTGGGTTGGGAAGATGCCCTGGAGAAGGGAATGGCTACCCACTCCAGTTATTCTTGCCTGGAGAATTCCATGGACAGAGGAGTATCGCAGGCTGCAGTCCATGGGGTGGCAGAGTTGGACATGACTGTCACTTTCACTTTCAGGTGTAAAATAGCTGGCTAGTGGGAAGCTGCTATATGGCACAGGGAGCTGAGCTGCATGCTCTGCGATGGCCTAGAGGGTGGGGTGGGGCGGGGGGAGTCCAGGAGGGAGGGGACACATATATACACTCAGAGCTGGTTCACTCAGCTGTATGGCAAAGCAGTTATACTCCAGAAAAAGAGAAAAGAATACATGCTCCAGTAAGTCAACTCCCTGGGTTCAAATCCCAGCTCTACCACGTGTGATTTTTAGACAAGCAGGTTTACCCTCATCTGTAAAGTGGAAAGAATGATTTCACTTAGTTATATGGTTGTTGTAAGACTGAAACATGCTAATACATTCAAAGAGCTTGGAAAAACTCGTACATATAAAGAACTCAATATATACTAGTACCATGCTCCTTAACAAAAGAGAGATAGACAAAGTATTAGGGCAAAAGATTAATTCCATTTTGAAGGTTTCGAGCCTGAGGTCTTGTTAAGACAGCCAGGGGAAGATATCCAAAAGCGAACTGGGGAGCAGCGCAGGAACTCCGGGAAAACACTGCAGTGGAAGGTCCAGTGTTCATCAGCAGGAAGCTGAGAGCCGGAGCCAGGAAAACAGAGAAGGCTGCCTAAGCACACAGTGTGAGTGATGAAACGAGGGCCAAGAGCAGGTCGTTTGGTAACGCCTACAACTCGACGGTGGCGAGAGCAAGATGGAACAGCCAGGAGACAGAAGACCCGGGAAGGGTGTAGGGGCCTAGAAGTCAAGTACAGAGCATGATTCTTAGGAAGTGGCGCTAGTGGTAAAGAATCCACCTGTCAGTGAAGGAGATGCAAGAGACTCGTGCTTGATCCCTGGGTGGGGAAGATCCACTAGGGGAGGAAATGGCAACCCACTCCAGTATTCTTGCCTGGGAAACTCCATGGACAGAGGACTCTAGCAGGCTACAGTCCATAGGGTCGCAAAGCGTCATACATGACTGAGTACATGTGTGCACACACACAAACACACACACAAACCTAGTCACTTACCGTGTGGAAAAGATGAAGGTTAAAAGCATAAAACTCAGTTGAATAGAACATACTGAAAAAAAAAAAAAAAGATTAAACCTAAATTAGCCCTGTAAAAGCAGTATCTGCAGCCTACTTACTGGTATGTTTAGTTTTATCTGAAAGTTATGGGAACTCAAGGACAAAATCAATGAATAAGCCAAATAAACACACATTGCTAAACTGACAGAATCATTTAAACTAGTAGGACTTGATCTGTTCTTATGAAAGATACCCCTGGACATAAGCTATGATATTTGCTACTCAGGGTAGGTCTAAAACCTTCTTTGATTTAAAATTTGGTTATTTAATTTTTTCAGTTTAGGAAAAGCTGGTTTATCCAATGAATATTAGCAAATAGCACAAAGGCGGTAGCATGTAACACATATTTTGGAATAACTCAAGTTGATTTTAACAACAAAAGATTCTTTGATATTACAATTACCAAAAGTTGTCTTTGGTATTATGGGGTATACGGAACAAGAGCTTAATTTTTGAGCCTAGAAGTTATTTGCATTGTATAATCTGCTGCTTCTTGAAATGATATTACTTTGGGTTTATTTTATTAATAACAGAAAAAATTACCTAAATAATCACATTTTAACCAATGCAGCCAACTACTATACTCAGAAAACAACAGTACCATATTTTATAAATCCCACTTTTAATTCACAATAAAGGGTAAAATAAACTTCAAGTTAAAATTTTTTAAATGGGCAAGAAAGTGGTCAATTTGACATTTGAATGTGATAGCTGTTACAGCTTCTTTCATCAACTGTTATAAATAGACATAAATAAACAAAGGAGATTAAGTCATAAGTAGATGCTGATGTCTTTTCAAAGAACAGATACACATGATCTGAGCACTACATATAATATGAAACGAAGTATTCTTTTTTAATCAAATGAATGTTGGCAATGAATTTAGGGAACCGCAAACAGTTATGCTTTGCTAGTGGGGAGGCTGAGGAGAGAGCCAGGACAGCCCGCCCTCCGACTTACTTATGAACAGTACGAGAAGGAGACTGAATTTATCCAGGTCGATACTTGGGTTCGAGAACGTGTCACAGAAGGTTGTATAGATGATCATGAGGAGCACACTGCTGCTGACAGCACCAAAAGGAGGCTGCTTTCTTTCGAGCCAGTCCTTGATGTATCTGCGGACAATCTGAAACACACAGACCAACAGGTTGCCTCTTTTCAGAGGGAGTCGGGTTGGGCATCGCAAAGTGATTCTGACAGCGAAAGACAGAAAGGGAAGAGAATAATTTGGATGAGGGCCACAGTGGATTTCAAAGCTTCCCTGCCACCCCATTCTTCTTCTGGGGAATTCAACATTTGTAGTGCAGCTTCCACTGGTGTCCATAATGAGAGTACATTTTCAACTGCATTCAAATCCATCCTTAATCATGCCAAATGCACTTTGCTGGCTGTCAGTGAGACATGTCCATTAAGCCTCCCCCAAGTTTATCTCCTCTGCTGAGCCTAATGGATGTGTGTGATTATCACAGTCCCCTTTGCCTCAACAGACAACTCCAAGTGTAACTTTGGGAATCTTAAAAATCTGACATCTTCAAGAATTTCAAGACGGTAGATAATCGAAAGTGATCCATGGAACATATTAATATTTAAAATGCTAGCAATGCACCAGAAGTTTTTAATTAAATTATAACTCATGCTTGAAAAGCAAAAGTGCATGTGTTGTGGGAGTTTAAATAATTCAGATGCTGAATATCTAGAGTTTTTGTGAATCCAAAGACAAATGCCATTTGCATGCTTTTAGAATTCTAGAATTAACACTTAAAAATGAATAAACCTGTCCTAACTTTCCTACAAAAGGGTGAGTGGAACATGAAGTTATATGGCAATCCCCTCATATTTTAAAATCGAATCAGATATTTCAACTCAGGACAGCCTGAACACTGGCGATAACTTGAAGTTTGGATGTAAAAGTGAACCACTCTATTTAAAACCTTTGGCTTTTGAAAGAAGCTGAACAAACCCGATAATGAGGACTAGAGTTGAGACACATTAAGTTCTGAGTCACTCATTATCCTGCATAATTGAACATGAGATTTCACAACAGGCTGAATTACCATGATCCATTAGCAATAATGAGGTCAGGGAACTTCTCCTGACAAGGCTGATGGGGTTCTGTCATCTTCCACTCTGTCACTAAAAAGGCTTAATTCGCAATGAGGCATGCCTTCACAGATCCTCAAGAACAAATAAACGACTCTCCAGAGAACCTGTGGATAGACGGCTGTTGGATCAATTTCCTTCCACCTCAAGGACTCAGTAGGTGAAAGAAGTGTTGAAGAAGGTGTTCTGGCAGAAAGCTGACCGGGTGGTGAGAGGAGCAGGGGCAGCACCTTGAAGGGTGGGTTGGATGGCAGGAGAAAGAGGGCTTTACATAGAAATGTCTGTGTCTGTGAAAGTCACTCAGTCGTGCCCGACTCTTTGTGACCCCATTGGCTATACAGTCCATGGGTTCTCCAGGCCAGAATACTGGATTGGGTAGCCTTTCCCTTCTCCAGGGGATCTTCCCAACCCAGGGATCGAATCCAGGTCTCCCGCATTGCAGGCGGATTCTTTACTACCTGAGACACAATAGCATTAAATATTTTTTAAAAGGACAACTTGGAATTAAAGTTATAGCTGCATTTATTAAAAAATTGTGTTTTGTTTCTGTAAAAGCAATTGCAAACCATAGTAATTTATCTAGTGTTCATTTCTTTCTTTACAATGAAAATGCAGTCAGGTATAGAGAAATAGTAGATCTATTACACAGCATTACAGACTGATGTATCAGAACACACATTTTGGTGCCTGAGGGACTCAGAAAAGCTATGACCAATCTCGACAGCATATTAAAAAGCAGAGACATTACTTTGCCAACAAAAGTGCATCTAGTCAAAGCTATGGTTTTTCCAGTAGTTATGTATGGATGTGAGAGTTGGACTATAAAGAAAGCTGAGCATTGACGAATTGATGCTTTTGAACTGTGGTGTTGGAGAAGACTCTTGAGAGTCCCTTGGACTGCAAGGAGATCCAACCAGTCCATCCTAAATGAAATCAGTCCTGAATACTCACTTGAAGGACTGATGCTGAAGCTGAAACTCCAATACTTTGGCCACCTGATGCAAAGAACTGACTCATTGGAAAAGACCCTGATGCTGGGAAAGATTGAAGGCAGAAGGAGAAGGGGATGACAGAGGATGAGATGGTTGGATGGCATCACCGACTCAGTGGACATGAGTTTGAGCAAGCTCTGGGAGTTGGTGATGGACAGGGAAGTCTGGCGTGGTGCAGTCCACGGGGTCGCAAAGAGTTGGACACAACTGAGCAACTGAACTGAACTGAGGGACTCAGATGGCCCCATGTTCAGATATGTCACCATGGGGCATGTGTGCTCAGTCGTGTCTGACTCTTTGAGACTCCATGGGCTATAATCCGTTAGCCTCCTCTGTCCATGGGATTTCCCGGGCAAGAATACTGGAGTGGATTGCCATTTCCTTCTCCAGGCACCATGAGGGTAGCTGCTTAATAGAAGGTCACAGATGTTTCACTTAAAAGGTCATTCCATAACTTATTGTTCCTAGTAGCATTAATGCTGATAATTGCTCTAATCAATGCAACTCAACATCCTTAGGAAATAAAACATGGAAATTACACAGAGTTATTGAAATTGAGAGTCTCCACTTGTGTTTTAATATATAATGGTTAAAAACACAGAAGTTCTCTCTCTGCAATAGATTATAGAATGTAGGATCCCAATTCCAAAAGTAAAAGTGTCTTCCCCCACCACCTCTGACAAAATAAACAAATAAATATGAATGAGGTGTAACTCACCAATTTAAAAACAAAGACAAACCTGTAATCGTCAATCAACTTTATAAGTTTTAATCTGACTTAGTCAACCTAATTAGTACCTCTTTCTTCATTACAAAGTACTCAGAGTCTCATAGTATATTAGGATTCTTCCAATATGGCAAGAAACATAGATGCCAAATTCTGCATCCTCTTAGCTAACATGCCTTTCCACTCAACTCTTCATGTTGAATACTGAATCTCAAAAAACTAGAAGCTTGGAAACTGTACAGACTCATAAGTGAAATGATAACCCTAGTGGAAAATAGATTGTTCTTTACTGTTTTTAGTCGTATAGTGATATTTGTCTGTGTTTCTATACCTTGCCAGCCTTGATAGGGCGTTTTCATCTCCTTCTAAAATTAAAATCACAAAACACCTTCTTTTGCACTGTGTAGCTAGAAAAGTATTAAAATATTTCACAAACTACTGGGTGAAGTCATGTTGATATGCCTCAAATACGGGCTTAGGATATAAACTCCAGGAAACCCAATTTCTCTTACACTTTTGACACAAACATTCTCCTCTCTTCAAGAATTCACATCATTGATCTGAGAGAATAACATTGAAACATGTATATTATCAAGTGTGAAATAGATGGCCAGCCCAGGTTGGATGCATGAGACAAGTGCTCGGGGCTGGTGCACTGGGAAGACCCAGAGGGATGGGATGGGGAGGGAGGCGGGAGGGGGGATCGGGATGGGGAACACATGTAAATCCATGGCTGATTCATGTCAATGTACGGCAAAAACCACTATAATATTGTAAAGTAATTAGCCTCCAATAAAAATAAATGAAAAAAAAAAAAAAGAATTCATGTCATTTTAAAATTCTCCAAACCTCTTTGCCTTACACCAGTGTTTAATAACCTTACAGGAAACAAGACTTTGCTAGAGATAGATGAACGCAACCTGATATAAACCACTCAGAATTCTCTTTTGGGAGAGAAAAAGTCAAAATGAAATGGAAAAACACATTCTGGTGAGGTGGCTTGTTGTAAATTTCTTCAGAATCTATACTAATTCATTTTCCCTCATAGCTCACAGAGATGCATTCGCTCAAAATTAAATGACAAATCCTCACTAACTTGCTTGCTTTTCACTATGGAGATAGAAGGGGAAAAAATCTTCCACAGGAAGCTTTTTGCTTTTAATGTCTCACCCTCTGCATTTTGATTTTCTTTATTTTAAATTAAGAGCCAGGAAAGGTTAAAAGGAAACTTAAATTTTTGAATCCCTGTACTTCCAATAAGTTGAACTGCATGTCAATTACTGCATGATCTCCAAGCTGAGCCCCTGGAAAAATAAGTCTTGGGTGAAGAAGGTAGATATGCAGAGGTAAGTGAGAAGTATAATAGCCATCATTTTGTTTTCTTCATTTTTTTTCCAGGGCATTTTCTTGTTTTTCTTTCTATTCTGTCTTTACACTTATAAACTGATTTTTGAGTGGGGATGTATGATGGTTGATTTTTCAGGTTAAGTTTGATTTTAAAGTTTTTTTTTTTTCAGGTAGTTTTAGATTGTTTCTTCAATTTTTTAGAATTTTTTTTGTGTCTTTTATTTAAAATTTTTTAACGATTTCATACAATTAAAAAAAAACTATTTATTTTAATTGGCGGCTAATTACTTTACAATTCTGTAGTGGTTTAGGTTGCTTTCCATTTACGGTTACTACAAAATGCTGACTGTATGTCCCCTGTCGTACAGGACATCCTTGAGCGCGTCTTACACCGGACAGTTTGTGCCTCCCACACCTCAGTCTCTGTACTGCTCTGTCCCCTCTCCCCACTGTAACCACTTATTTGTTCTTTATATTGTGAGTCTGCCTTTTTTAATCTTCAAGTTTTAATCCTCTATTCCACTGAATATATATATTTTCAGAAAGTGATTTGTTTCTTCAGTAATGTGCTTTTGAAATGTACAGTCGGGGATGTGATATCATATCCAATTATGTAACATTTATTAGATATTGAGTAGATTCAAACTAATATTTCACTTTCTTTAAACAAAGTGGAAACAATAATAGTAAGTGGATACAAGAAGCACCCATCATGACTTCACTCTCTGAAATTCTTCCCCTCTATTACTAACATTTACTTCCATCCTCAGGAGCAAGGTCAAGCGGATTCTATCCTGCTCGGTTACAGCCGAAGACAAGGCACTTGAGAGCCCAGACAGCCTGCATCAAATGCTAGAAAGCTAGTCACACGGATTATTAGGACTCTCACCTCTGTCTCTTGAGTGAACAATAGGCAGCGGCTCAAGGTATAGAGTTAGGAGCTTCTTACTGTGTGATCTTGGGCAAATTCCTTAACTTCCCTGTGCCTCATCTCTAAAATGAATAGACTAGTAATTGTAGTGAGGTCTAAGTGATTAAATAAATATAAAATGCTTTAGAACCAGGGACGGTACATGGTAAATAACAACTATTCTTATTCCCAAATCCCAGTTTGCTGAAGTTTCTATCACAGCACTCTTCACCTATATATCCCATTGCATGATGTATTAATAAAAGCCACTCTTCTCCCAGAGCAATTCAAGTGAAGCAATGAAAACCTAATATAATTTTATAAGTGTAAAATTTTACTAGCATTAATAACATTAACTGCAACTTCAGCTGGAGATTATTTAATATGAAGAGTCAATCTCAAACTGAGAAACAAAGCAAGAACAAGAGACTGGAAAATGCACAAATGAGAAACAATATGCCTTTTACTATTAACTTATTGAGGTGGGGTTTAGGGTGCTGTTTTAAAAAATATTTTTCAGAGGTAGTGGAAATTCTATTTCATTAACATTGATTCATAAATCTCTCAAATCTGATGCATAAAATAAGCATTTGTCACAGGCACTTAGATATATTGAAGGCTTTATCAGAAAAGAAGAAACATTACAATAACACACACTTAATTTCTTTCTAGAATTGACGGAAGCAAGCAATCTCCCAACCACCTACGGAAAGACTAATCTTATCTCACACACTCATGGCATCTCCGAGCTGGAAGACATTAAACTCTTAGCTCTACAAACGCGGTAAGTGAGACCCAGGAAGCATGTGTCTAGCCAGGCAGTGGCAAAGACCAAACTGGACCCCACGTGTCAGTGTGACAGACCACATGTGACTGATGGGCCAGTCATTCAGTAATGATTTCAGTCCAAAAGAAGTATTGTCTGGAGAAAACACATACACTTGAAAGCAAATAAAGCCCACTGTAAGAAATGTAAATAAAAAACGAAATGATAAAAATTTTATCATAACTAAAAGATTAAGGAAAATATTTTCCACTCACCCTTCCTGGTCTTTTTCTTCTCTCTCTAGTTCCCAACATTTATTTAACAGGTAATAATAAAATCTCATTTAAAATGCATATAAAAATCTATGGAAATGTTTACTTTAATATTTGGCAACTCTAGTTATATTTGAGAAATGAGGCTGCATTGCCAGGAACCTAGTCCCTCTGAAGCAGGATGCTGAGCACATCTGACGAGGCCCTCAAAGACCATATCGCAAAGGTTAGGTTGGTCAGTGAGCAAATGAACAGAGATTAAATGGCAGGCAGGGTCCCTGGTCTCATGGAGCTCACGTTTGAGGAAATCAATAAAAAGCAAAAATGACAAGTAAACAAGAAGCAGATAATGATCCATACCAAACAGAGGCTCAAACTGGATAATACGCTAGTGGCTGAATGGCTAGCCTGTGGAGGAAGGGCCTTTCTGGGGCGGCGACAGGTAGGAATGTGTCTCAAACAGAAGCACAGGACAGAGGCTGACAGGTTTCAGAAATGGAAGCAAAGTCAGTGAGACCCAAGGGTAACGGCAAGTGGGAGAGTGTCAGGGGAAGGAACAGGGGATTTGAAAACAGAGGACAGGATAAAATGATCCCATAAGGAAGCAGAGTAGGACGTCTGTAAGTGCTGAAGGACATTTTAAATGTGGGGCCATGATGGGAACCAATGATATATTTCTCTCTAGTAAAGCTGGTTGTTGTTCAGTTGCTCAGTCATGTCCGACTCTTTGAGACCCCACGGGCTGCAGCACGCCGGCCTTCCCTGTCCTTCACCATCTCCTGGAGTTTGTTCAGACACATGTCCGTTGTGTCGGTGATCTCTGGGAGATCCCATGGACAGAGGAGCCTAGTGGGCTACAGCCCACGGAATGCAAAAGGGTCCCAAAGAGTTGGACAGGACTGAGTGAAGCTGGAGATCTTGGGGAAAATGGCTGGCGGGGCTACTGGGAGGATAAATTCAAAGTTTTCTTCAGCCAAGGTTTTTATACAGTGTACATCCAACTCTTGAAAGGAAGTGAAAGTGAAAGTCGCTCAGTTGTGTCCAACTCTTTGCAAGCCCACAGACTATACAGTTCATGGAATCCTCCAGGCCAGAATACTGGAGTGGGGAGCCTTTCCCTTCTCCAGGGGATCTTCCCAACCCAGGGATCGAACCCAGGTCTCCCACATTGCAGGCGGATTCTTCACCAGCTGAGTATGCTACACTTCTGCTAGAGCCTGCTTCTGGGAAGCTCACGGGTGCTACCTTACTGTCACTCCTAATACATATGATGAGTCAAGTATGATGGAGAACTGGAATTTAATCTAGGGCCGGGGTGTCAGCGCGCTTCCGAGGGCACCTCTGTCCTGAGTCTCTGGGGGTAAGCAGGAGTTTTCTTCCAGAAAGGAAGGAATCCAGAAGGCACGGGCATGGAGCAGTGAAGGGGCAGGCCGCAGGGCAGAAGAGAAGGCCGTGGGTGAAGGAGCCGGTGGAGGGGACGTGAAGGACACTGACAAGCAGGCTGGGCTCAGCTGGGCGGGCTTCGTGGGCCACGTGAGGAGCCGGTGAGGTGACAGGGAGCCCCAGGGGGAGTTTCTGAGGAGAGGAATAACAGAACCTGGTTTGTTTTGCTTTTAGGACTACCCTGGAGGCAGTGAAGACGCTGGCTGGAGACTGGAAGAGATTCCCAGCACAGAGAGCGGTCTGACTGACGGAACAAGCTCAGGAGGCCCTCTTTGGGAACCGCTGCTGAGACAGCAGACGCAGGCAAGGGTCGACCTCTCCCGGGCGAGGGGGCGGTGGGGGGGGAGGCAGCGTGTGGTGACTGCTCTTGGCGAGAGGAGAAGAACCGGGCATCATGTCTCCGAGGGGTGGGCCCCGCCTGAGAGCCCACTGGGGCGGCACCACAGACAACCCCTCATCCCACCTGTCTCAGCCTCCCTGCTGCTGACCCCAAGGGTCCTCCCCCATTCAGCTTCCTGCATGGAAGTCTCCGTCTCAGACTTGACTTCCCGGAGAACCTAAGACAGCAGGTCAAGACTACATGTCTGCACACATACCATTTTTAAACAGTTAATGCCTCAAAGAATTGCTTCCTCTTTCGTATCTACAGGGAATTTGAAAATGATGATGAAGCTATAGAACACTTACCTGTATCAGGCTGTATGAGGGAAAAAAAACTTTAGATGCATCTTTTTTCATGTGACCTTCACAATAACCCTTTAAGATAGGTACCATTATTATACAATTTGATAAATTATGAACCTGGAGCTAAGGAGATTAAATGACTTGCCCAAGGTCACACAGCAAATAAAAGGCAGGACTAAGAACCAGAGTCTAGTTGCTCTTAACCCAAGGTCTGGGCTCTTCACCATCCTAATGTACTATTTTGCTAAGACTCACTAGCTTTAGCAGTACATTAAATTCTGTATGCTGTCACTGCAGCTACCTAGGATTAAAACAACAACTTGTTTTTAAACTTGTATGCTCATAATTGAATTATATACTCATTATCAACCTGTTATAAGAAGTTAGGAATTTTTTCTCTGAGTCTAATTCAGTAAGAATAATGAAGGAAACTAAATTTTCTAAGATCACATTTAAAGAGCTGATAGAATTAAATGTTTGTTTTAATCAATTACAGCATCACAGACATGATCACTGCTATCAGAGAAGTCTAAGAGGATGGTCAAATGCAGGTGCCTGTTCCTCAAATGGTCCTAAATGCTGACACCTTATTGGAAATCAAGGTAATGATTTGCTAGATGTTTTCAAGCAAGCAACATAGCTACAATAAGGGATGATAAATTAAAAAATCAAGACTGTATGCAGGTGTCCCTATATATAAATATCTGCAGAGCAGACTGATGCTAATTAAAAAAATAAAAAGATAAGGAAACTTGGGTTTCACAGTCTTAGATTTTTATTTGACCATCTCTTCCCCTGACTAGCTTTTCTCTCAACTGTCCTGACACTACATAAGAATTCACAATTTGATCTATAAAGAAAAAGAGCCGAGAGAATTGGAGACCTTACCTGTCCAATAATGAGAGGAACCACAACAGTCATAAAAAGCTGAGAAAAAATAGATGTAAAAGGCACAGAAGAGGATGAGCCAAGCTGTAAAACAAGAATAAGAGGAGTTATAATTACTTTCAATTATTATCAAATATGCTGTTAATTAGTGTAATAAATGAATTCTCTCCCATGCACCAAAAACTTGGGAGCTGTAGACAAAGAGCAAGTGAAGTTACTTTTATTTTTGAAATTTAGCACAAGATAAACTGAGTAGCTTAATATGCAATTTTGTATTGTGAGACTAAGATTGAAGAAAAATAACTACTGTTTCACAATTAACTTATATGGTTTATTATGTGTCCGACTCTTTGCAATCCTATGGACTGTAACCTGCCAGGCTTCTCTGTCCATGGGATTCTCCAGCAAGACCCATGCCCTCCTCCAGGGCATCTTTCCCACCCAAGGATGGAACTCTTATGTCTCCTGCTTTGGCAGGTGGATTCCTTACCACCAGCACCACCTGGGAAGCCCTGTTATTAAATACATTTCTGATTGTAAAGTCATTTGGTGTCTATGCTGTCTATAGTCACATGGCATGATATTTCATCTGTAATCATAGTTTATGTGATTTCTATTTTACCCATCTGCAGATACCTAAGCCAAATAAGTATGTCTTATTATTTTATTATCAAGATAACATTTTTATTTATGTAAATGAAATAGTTTGTAACTCCCCTAATCCTCCAAAACAAAGGCAATGAATCTTATATCCTTAAAAATTTATTCTTACACAAAACCTTGGAAATGGGAAATCCTGAAACAACTTATTTTTCAACTTAAAATTTCAATGTACCGCTCCTAAATTGGAATGCCTGAACATTGTTCATAATTCTTGTTTTGACTCCAGCCTTATTTTCTGGTTCTTGCTTTGCTAATGATTGCAGTCTCAGCTTCATAAATATGTTACTATCGGACCATAAGGCAGCGTTTCTCTGTGAACACAGTCACACGCTCACATTAACCTCTACTGCCAAGAATTGCTGTCTTCCTATTAATTTGCTTTTTTAAAAAATGTCTTTATTGAACTTGTTCCAATACTGCTTCTGTTTTACATCTTGGTTTTTTGGTCACAAGGCCTGTGGGAGCTCAGCTCACCGATTAGGGATTGAACCTGCACTTTGCATTCGAAGTGCAGGGTCTCTACCACTGGACTGACAGGGAAGTCCGCCTGCTAACTTGCTCATATTTTTTCAAAACCTCCTTTCTGGACCAATAGTAGCTGTTTCATAGACATTCATCTCTTTCATGAGTCCCTTCTGCAATATCTCCCCGGCCCTTGGGACTTTCTTTCACCTCCCTCTGCAGAACAAACTTCAGTTTTCATCTTTACCTAAGTTTAGTTAAACTTGGAAATACCTTTTGGAAGATAATTTTTGTGAAACATGTGGAGGCAGTGATGACGAAGGAAAGAGAATGTTAAATAACATAACAAATATTTAGCTAAGTGAAGTCAATAGCTCAGAATGAAGTTACCTGGGACCAGTGTTTTTACTGATTTCTGCATGAACCAGCCCACCAAGATCTTTTCTGCACCCTGGTTGGTGCATTTTATGACTCTGTCCCCCTATCCTTGGCCCCAATCTATACGCACTCTAAAGACCAAGAATATATGTCTTGTCCCCCAGTAGCCTGAATTCACTTAATACTGCCTCCGACACTCACCATTGGCTCTCAGCTTAACTTACAAAAAGTGTAGCCTCCAGCCTTTTCCTCCAGAACCAATATAAACTGAAAAAATGCAGCCAGAGCAAGTGAAACTGGTGAAGAACACACAGGATTTGTGGTGTGTTAAATGTTACTGAACTCACTCCTGCGGCTCCTACGTTACAGGCGGATTCCTTACCACAATGGCCACCTGGGAAGCCCCAAATGTTACATGGCTGTTAGATGTTTCTTTTTAGGCAACACCAAAGTATTAAAAGCCAAAGTATTAAAAGCTAATGACTCCACCCTATTTTAAAGTAACTATGTCCTTGAAGTGCAAGGTATGTAACAAATATATATTCTCTCCACAAATATTAACCCTAAGGATGCTCTGGGGGCAAGGATTAAAATAAGGAAAAATATATTTTACAAAGAAATCGAGGCACTGGATAAATAGAAAAATAAATTTTAAAGAACAAAGTTTTCAAGTTCAAAGACATTCAACTCAATCAATGCTTTATCCAGAGGGTTCACAATCTTTGAAGACAGGCAGTAGGGTTGAGGGTGATAACCTGCAAGTAAAAAGCCTCCATTCTTGCATGGAATCTCACGGGTGATCTCTCTGTTCCTCTTTCTATCTCAACTTTATTAAGTTATGTAATGTATTTTTAAAATGTTTTCATGAATAATCAAATGAAGTTATATTCCCTCTGTCAGCCCAGTGCTAATCCCAGGAACTGGCACAGTGAATATGTTTGCAGAAGCAAAAACCCATGCAGAATGAACAGATGAAGTAGTTTGTAAACATGGGGAGCTAAAAAGGGACAAACCCTTATTCAAAATCACATCCCTGTTTTTCCTAAAGTTAAAACACGCACATCACACACACAAAACTAAAGTACATCTAAAAACTCATTATCCTGCAGCATTACAAAATCAGTTGGTATTATTTTTTTCACTTCTTATCATTAGTAAGACAACGAATTCTAATGTGCATCTAGTAACTAAGGGCATCTATTCATAAGAACCAAGTGAAGAGAGGATCAGCTCACGCAGGCGCGCACAGACACAGCAGCGATCATGGTCTGTGTTCCCTCCCTTGATTCTCCTCCACCCTGTCCTGAGCTCCTTAATGCTGCTGTGGAGAGAAGACCTAAAATTGATAGAATCCCTGCAAGCGACTTGTAGTCCCGTTCACTCTTTTTAAAGATTGAAAACTGAGGTCCAGAGAGAAGTCATTTGTAATTAACACTTCTAATACCTGCATTATGATACGAAATTGTCAGTGTTTCTCAAACACATGCAAGAAACTCCAGCCAAATCTGTTCTGTGATAGCAGCCAGATCCACACTGGGAGGGCTTGCTAGTTTAACCATAAAGCATTACTTCAGAGCAGTAAAAGATCAAATGAAGAGAAAAGTTAAAAGCTGATTTCATGTACTGAGTCCATTTGGGGGGGTTTCTTTTTAATCCCAGTTCAATCTAAAAGGGAAGTAGAGGAAAACTGATTTCATCTTTGGTGTTGAAGAATATTGTGTGTGTTATTCTCCAGATCCATCACACGATAGACCACCTGCATGATCAGAGTTTGGAAGTCTCTTGGTTCTGGAAGAGAGTGGGGAAGGCTTCGGGGTGAGGCGGGGGGGTGGGAGGTTGTCCGCGATGCCCAAGGTCCCTTTGTCCTCAAAAACACCCTTGATCTCTGATCCACTTGGTTAGGAATATAGGCTAGAGCAGCCCTCCTCTGGGGCCTTATCAGATCAGAGGCCAGAGCAAGCTAGCCAGGGATGGAATTAACTGGGTATATGAAACCGGATGAAGTACGGTGGGGATGCTGGGGAAGAAATCCCACAGGGTGGCTCCCTTTAGAAGTGGCTCTGCAAGGAAGGAGACCTCAGTCCTGGGGTCTAACTTGGCATGAGTCCTTTCTTTTGAACTGGCCACCAGACCCGTCGCTGTGGTCAGGGTGAAGTTGCAGTGGTCCCCTTGGGGAAGCTCTGGGGCTATGAAGTATGCCCTGGCAGCCAGAAGAAAGAGTGGGCATCTGCATTTGAGAGCAAGACCAGGAAACTACAAGACCCAATCGTTTTCCATGCAGAGTCGATTTTAACTAAAGCAGAAGGAAATACGTTGCCTGGGCTGGCTGGTTCTTCACATTTTAATGAGGAAACCTCATGTGGTTTCCATTTCAGAGACCAATGTGTTTATAAGAAGCATCAATAACTTGCACGTTTGGATAAGAGCTCAGGATAAGCTTGTGTCAATCAAGTGTTCTGGGCTTTGCTGAGCCACCTGGCAGGCTTAAGTCCCCACGTCTCACATTGCCAACGCGTGCTTTAAGAGACCGGTGTGAAATAAACAACCCAGGCGCTGGCTAATTTCTTTCAGGAGTATAGTTTCTTTTAAAACAGGGAACTCACAATTAGGATTATTTGTTTTAACATCATGCGGCAAAGAAACGTTTCAGAGAAAATGAAACATGAGGAAATTTAAGACCTTTGTGTTCAATCCTTCAAATAGTTACTGGTGCCTCCTAGAGGTGCCCAGAACTAGAGGTATGTTCTAGGTCCAGGGGCTCCAACAGTGAACAAAAGACCAAAGCCCTCCTCTCTCCAGGAGCTGCTTTTTCAAAGCTGAGGTCTGTGTGGATCCATGCACACTCCTTTCTATAGGATGTCTTCCCCTCGCTCACAACTGGAAAAGTTCTAATCTTTTTTCTAAAAATTATTTCAAGCATCACTTCTCTGTAAATTATTTGCAAACCCTCCTCCCCAAATGCAGATGTGACTGCTTGTTCTTTGGGGGCTCTGTGTTGACAATGTATTGCTCAGAGTCCTTGGTTGGTCTTGTTTACACATCTGCCTCTCCCAGTAGACCATGTGTTCCTGAGGTCAGAGACACGGTCTTTTTCATGTTTATATTCTAGGTGCCCAGCAGTGTGACTCCTTCTTACATCTAGGGTGGTGGTTTTCAAATGTTAACACACCAGAAACATCTGGAGGGCTTGTGAAAACACCTATTCTTTAGCCTCACCTACCAGTTCAGAGTTTCCAGTTCAGAACACCTGGGGGAAGGAGGAAAGGAGGAGGGTGAGGACTTTTCTAACCAGCGCCGCCCCAGCACTGCTGCTGAGCTGGGGCTCACATGTGAGAACCGCTGCAGGTTAGCACAGCCACAGTGCGCGTTATGTGCTCAGCTGTGTCAGACCCTTTGCGACCCCATAGGTTGTAGCCTGCCAGCCTCTCCTGTCCGTGGGATTCTCCAGGCAAGAACACTGGAGTGGGTACAGCACATAGTGTGTGCATGTGTGTTAAGTCGCTTCAGTTGTGTCTCTTTGCAACACGATAGACCATAGCCTGCCAGGGCTCCTCTGTCCGCGGGATTCTCCCAGCAAGAAC